TCTTAGTTTCTTGAAAAAGAAGTTTTGAAAGTTATATACATAGGTTTCATTTAAATTATGCAGCAGTCTATTATTAATAATAACGTCCCAGATCTTGTTTAATGAGGAGCTCCACCATCAGATCAAGTATGGTATTTCATAACTATAAGAACTGTAAGAGAAAGAAAACAAAAAATGTATTAAAAAAGTGTATCAAAATAGATTCATATGCTGTTAGAAATAACATTCTTAACTGTAACTATGTTCACTTTTAGAAAGGAATTATTGGGCTGGGGAGATAGTTTGGCGGTCTAAGTTCCAGCCTGGCAAGCACAAGGACCCAGGTTTGATCCCTGACACCACACACTGCGCTGATCTGGGAATGTCAAATGCACCATGCTGGCCACTGAAACCGGGTGTGGTGTCATACGCCTATAATCCCAGCACTGGGGACGCTGAAACAGGAGGATCACTATGAGTATGAGCTGAGACCCTGAACCAAATAAACAATCACAAAAAAAGTAGAAAGGAGTAAGTGCTGGGTGTGATGGTGCACACATGGAATCCTAGCACTCAGAAGGCTGAAGCAGGATTGCTGTGTGAGAGCAGCCTGGGTTATACACTGGGCTGAAGGCTAGCCTAAACTACATAGCAAGACCCTGTCTCAAAAGACAAAAACAAAAAAAAGGGGTTATGAAGGCTGAACTTTTATCTGATAATAGATAGTAAGTACAAAAATATCATAAAACAGTACAAAGGTCTAATAGTGACATCTATTTTTTTCTTTTTTTGGCAGAACTGGGGATTGAACTCACTGAGCTGTCTCCCTGGCCCCTAACAGTGACATCTTGATCGGATAAGCTATAGAACTAATGGTACGTGGCTAAAATATTTAATGATGTGGGAAATATTCACAATGCATTAGAAAACACCTTAACTTGTTTTTGAAAAGTATGTTTACTAATAGGAAAAGACTAGAATAATATTTGATAGTTACATTAATAGCACCAATCTCTGTGTGGTAAGATTACAATTGAAAGGGCTGACAAGATAGCTCAGTGGACTAAGTGCCTGCTTGGGCAAGCGCAGGGACCCGGGTTCAATTCCCAGCACCACATGCCACACCAGCCCCGCCCCGGGCGCACTGAGCTGGCCACCAAGTCTGAGTATGGTGGCACAGGCCTGTAATCCCAGTGCTGGGGAGGCTAAAAACAGGAGGATTACTATGAGTCTGAGCTGCACAGTGAGATCGTGCATCAAATATATAAAAATAAAGATTACAGTTGCATTTTTCTTCCTTACGCTGTTCCACATTTTGTTATATACCATACATGGTTGATTCTTACTATTTGAGATAGCTGTTACGTTCTATAGTTACCACAAACAAGATATACTGAACCACTGCTCCTAAGGAAAATAAAGGGCTAAGTTCCCATGAGCCTTTGGTTACATTTTTGTTGATCAGTCAGCATAAAATGTTTTTATGTATGCTTTGGCATAATGTATATCTCATTTAATATAAATTATTGATTCGATAATATTAAAATCAAGGTCAAAAACACTACTACTTATGCCTGCCCAAAGTTTACTTTACATTGTTGTTCAAGGACATTACAGTCTTCTCACACTTGGTAACATTGTACAACGTTTCTGAGCAAGGTTGGTGGCCATTTTAAACCATGAAATCACAAAAAACAAAACAAAAATGTGGAGAATGTGGTACTACAAAGACTACCAGAAGTAATAGGAAGGCAGAGACTGCCTTATTTGAACCTCAGCTGAAAACCTACTGGTCAGGAGATTTGAGCTGCTCTGACCAAGCCTGCAAATGACTATAAAAGCAACAGGAGTATTGAGTTGGGGCTTATGAATAAGTTTCAGTTGGTAAATGAATTCATAAATACAGCATTCATAAATAATGAGATTTGGCTGTATTTCTTTGTAATACAACCTTTTGAGGGCCAGCCAGATAGCGCAACAGACTAAAACGCCTGCTTAGGCAGAGTATAGCAACCAGGGTCCCAGTGGTTGGGAGGCTCAATACAGAAGAATCACTATGACTCCGATCTACGTAGTGAGATCTCATAGACCCTGCACTAAATACACAAAAATAAATAAACTTTTTGTTTACACAAATTAGATTCCTATGATTTTTTCTAATTATTAGTTTGAGGCACTATCCAGATGTTTATAAACTCTCTATAGACACAGGTAGAGACCTTTTTGGCAATGTAATTACTAACAATACTTTGACCATAAAACAATATTAAAGAAAGAGAAGAAATTATGCCTCAATGACTAAAATCAAGTTCAAATTCAAAGGGCTGGCCAAATAGCTGAGCAGATTAAAATGCCTGCAAGGAGGCACAGGGGCTGGGGGTTCGATCCCTGGGCCTGCCGAGCTGGCCCCACCCATAGGGCGCACCGATACCACAATTGAGACTGGGTGTGGTGGCATGCACCTGTAATTCCAGCTCTTGCGAGGCTGTAAACAGGTGGATCACTACGAGTCTGATCTAGTAGTGAAACCCTGAATACCCTGTAGACCCTTTCCTGAAATTAAAAAATTCAAATTCAAAACAAAAACAGAAGGCATCATCTGGAGAATTTAACTGCATTTGTCCTTCCAATACAATTATTACTGCATAAACTGTTATACCTGAAAGTGAACAGTAAACAGAAAAAGAATATCTTCCTAAATGTAAGGAAAATCAGATTTGGCCTTAGCAAATTGTCCCTTCATTCGATAGTGTGGGTGATGTGCAAGAAAGAGAAAGCTTTCTCTTGAGAATCTGACAAAAGACTTTGTCCCCACAGAAAGGTACACATACATATTTATGTAAAATTTAGCATGCTTTTTCACAGATTTAAAAATTCTAGGTTAAGACTCCTTACTCAGATCAGAAGTCATTACTTAATTATGACATTAGACAAACCCAATCAACTGAAAAGAAATCAAAAGGAAATGAAAGTCAATTCCAACACAAAACAAAACAAATAACCTCCAGAAATAATAATCCAATAAATACTTACTGATGATCACTAGCAAAAGGATAGCAGCAACCAAAGCCATGATGGCTTTTATCTACAACACAGAAAAAGGCATATGAAGAATACTGTTTGACTTGTTAATAAAGCCAGGACTACCTGTCCTGCTACTTACCGTGCCATATTAACTCATCAACAACAGGCGCACTGACAGGTTCACAACCCTGTCAGCTTCTCAATTTGTTTCTCATAAGAACTTGCTGGCTGTTCCCCCAAAACTGAGTCTTTGCTTTGTTGGCTTTTATTGTTTCAGGCTACACTGCATAATAAAGAGCCAACGAAGCCCTTACAGACCTGGTCCTGTTTGCCTACTATTTCACATGCTTATTTCTATGTGAGGGATGAAAAATATCGTATATGAAATGTTACCAAATCTGTTCAAGTGTTAGGATATGAAGATTAGCACAGGCAGCCAACCCAAATGATTTAATACACAGTGGCCCTCCCTTATGTGAGGATGACAGGTTCCTTTGGAATGCGCCCTCAGTGGATACTGGAGACCCTAGACAGTGCCACATTCTACCCATGTTGTTTTTTTCCTATGCATATGTACTCATGATAAAATTTAATGGATACATTAGGCATAGTAAGAGAGCAACAATAACAGAACTATAAAATAAATTGTAATGTTAAGTGAATTTAAGTCAGGACAGATATTACTGTTTTCCGGTGGCCACGGCCACTGGAACTCTGGCAAGCAAAGTTATAGGGGGTGGGCACAAGGGGCTCAGTATATAAGGCTTCATATTTTATAGTACTTATCCTCTAAGTATATGGGAATAATTGTTAAATTTTTACTCCCTTTTCTTCATGGTGTTTAAAATCTCTACTCCAAGGAATATATTTTAGATTCTTCATGAACAACCTCATTTAGTGCCTAAGACTATTCTATATGTCGGTTTCATAGGTAACATGAGAAACACTGAGATCAATTTCAGTCAGATTTTAAGTTCCTGTTAACCTCCTATATAAAACTTTCATTAATCACTTAATCTTAAAATGTATAAATTATACATTTATTTCATTTCTTTAAAATTCATCAGTTTCAGAAAATTGATAAAAAATGGTTTATTCAGAAAAAAAAGGTACCAGTTATAAACAGAAGAAACATTCTAATGAGTATCACAAACACAAGTAGTCAATGAAATGTTTCTAAAAATAGAGTAACTGGTGACCCTTTTGTGGGATTACATTCATGAGAATAAAAGGATCACCCAGAGAATATATGAAAACTTTGCAATTTGGACATCAGCACCCATTAAAATTATCAATTATGATAACCAAAAAATTTAGAAAAACTAAAAATGTAGAGAAATAGGAGTTATATTTTCATTAAGTATGTGAGTCCATATTATGCTATAAATGACCTTAACTTAATATGAAAACATTTTTAAAGAAATGTAGAACTTTATAGCAGTTTTTACACTCTGCCTAAAACCTACATTAATTTGCCCTATTTAAAACACCTCAATGAATAGTTCCTTCTGTGGGTTTTCAATCCTGGACAGTAAATGTTTACAACCCCAAAGGGCAGTATTTTACTCGTATGTGTGCAAAGCCCTCTTCTTTCTAGTGACATGGACACGACTCTGTCTACCACTGAACATATAAAAGCCTCACAGCCTCACAGACACATAAGAGTGGTCTGCAATTCTCCTTCCCTACCTACTCACTGGAAAAACATATTCACTTCCTTGTTTTTAAATTCCAGTTTACTGAGATTCTTTATGAAGAACAAAAGTCATTCCTTTAGGAGTACATTTTGATTGCTTCTGACAAATATACATAGTTGTTCATCACCATCTAAACCAAATACAAGCTATTTCTACCACCAACACCCCAAATTCCCTCATGTCCAGCTCTAAACAATTTCCACCTTCCACCTCTTTACCCACACACAACTTCTGATTTGTGTTCTGTTCTGAGATCTTTCCTCATAAAACTTTCTAAATCACTGCTATTAAGTTAACCCATGAAATGAGAGCATGAGAAGGCAGCTGCAGATAAGCAGCAGAACACAGAGTACGGGGTACAGTGCTACAGAAGAAAGATATATACTAGAAAGTAACAAATGGAAAATCCATGCTGCTCTCAAAGAGCTTTGTTAAGTTACAGAACAATGTGTATTACATGGCTGATGCTATTAGTGGTTACTAAAGGTCATATAGACACGGTTTGAAAACATAATTCAATTTTTTAGACTCTAAAAAGAAAGCTATTCCTTTGAGTTGAATCATAAATTACAAAACAAAAATACGGGCACAGATGCTGAGGGGAGAAGAGGTGAGCAGCTCATTAATCTTTTGTCTTTCCGTACTAGAGAACAGAAAATTCTGCTAGAAATAAAAATAATTGAAGGAACAGGGTTTATTCTTTAATGAACAAAGAATTTACAATAGAAAAATCTATGTTCTAGACAAGGGAACCAATGAACAATGCTTCTTTCTTTCCTCATTTTATTTCTGGAAGTAAGAACATTTAGAAGGTAGACAAAACTGAGTAAATCCAAGGCAACTCTTGGAAGAAATCCTTAGCATAAGGCAAAGTCAGGTTTCAAAAATTATTGTTGAACCTGAAAATGACAGGCTAAAAACAATGGCTCATGTCTATATTTTTATCAAAGCCAAAAGTTATACCCAGAATAAAAAAAAAAATATTTTTTACA